AATGTGCCTGTGTGAAGCAGCAGTATGACGCCATCCGGGCTGCCCAAGCTCAGACAGCGCGTGAACAGGGCAGCGAACTGGTGACTGCCAAGACGAAGGAGTGGCGCGCGGCGCTGCAGGTGGCGGCGGCCCACGCTGACGGTCGACCATGGCGTCGCGGCGGGTGAGGAGGAGCGGCTGGAGGGGGCGGCGGAACCCCGGGCGGCTGCTGGCGGGTCGTGGCGGTCGCGGGTCGAGGTCGCGGCAGGCGGCGCGATTGAGGCGGCTGCGCGACAGGGGGAAGCGCCACGGGCAGCGGCGACGGAAGGGCGGCGCGTGTCGCCGCGCAAGGCGGAGGAGGTCATGGCGGTGGCGTCGTCGACGGGGGAAGGAGCGGCTCCCGCTCTGTCTCTCCATGCAGTGACGGGGCTGCCGACACCGGGGACTCTCCGTTTCCGGGTTCAGGTTGCCGGTACCATGGCGCTAACCTTGGTGGACAGTGGCGCCACACTGAACTTCACTAGCGAGGAGTTAGCCAAACTCCTTCCGCAGGCGCCAAGCTTGATGGATCCAATGGTGGTCCGAGTAGCGAATGGGGCACCCATGCAGTGCAAGGCCGTCTATAAGGAGCTTCCATTCGATATTCAAGGGCTGCCCGTCACCGCGGATGTGTTTGTGCTGCCCATTCGCGGGTTTGACATGATTTTGGGTGTTCCATGGTTGCAGGGATTGTGACCGGTCACCACCGATTGGCGTCGCTTGACCATGCGGTTCAAATGAAGAGATAAGGAGTGGTGTTTGCAAAGGCTTACCACGGCCCTAGTTCCGGTCTCTCTCCACAAGTGCGCCATCGAGGAGGAGGCGGAGTTAGCGGTCCTGTGCTGGCCCGTGGTGACGACTGAGGACCAGGAGCTGGCCCCTGACCTCCGAGGGGTACTGGCAGGGTTCCCGGGGCTCTTCCAGACACCGACCACACTGCCTCCCCATCGCTAGGTTAACCATCGCATTCAGCTCAAGGACGGGGTAGAGGCTGTGAATGTCCGTCCCTACCGATACGACCATTCACAGAAGGAGGAGATCGAGCGCCAGGTGGAGGAGATGCTAGCGACCGGTTTGATCCGGCCCAGCACCAGTCCCTTTTCCTCGCCGGTGCTGTTGGTCAAGAAGAAGAATGAGACTTGGCGATTTTGCACTGACTATCGGGCGCTCAACGCCGCTACGATGAAGGATCGATTTCCGATTCCGACGGTGGACGATATGCTCGATGAGCTTCACGGATCAACGTACTTTACTAAGCTCGATCTACGAGCAGGGTACCACCAGATTCGGACGCAGGAGAGGATGCGCACAAAACCGCTTTCCGGACTCATAACGGCCATTATGAGTACTTGTTCATGCCCTTCGGATTGTGCAATGCTCCTTCGACCTTTCAGGCGGTGATGAATGACATTTTTCGACCTCTGATGAGACGGTATGTGTTGGCATTCTTTGATGATATACTCATCTACAACCCATATTGGGAGATGCATTTGCAGCATTTGCAGGCTGTGTTTGAGATACTACGGCGCCACCAGTACTATCTCAAAGCTTCGAAGTGTGCATTTGGGGTGTAGAAGATAGAGTACTTGGGCCACATTGTCATGCCCCAGGGAGTTCCAGGTGGATCAGAAGAAGATTCAGGCTATGATCGAGTGGCCAACTCCGACCACTGTCTCGGAGTTGAGAGGGTTCCTCGGGTTGACCGTGTACTATCGGAAGTTTGTGCAGGGTTACAGTATGATCGCTCGGCCCCTGACTAATATGTTGAAGAAGGGCGGGTTCGCATGGACTTCAGACGCCGACAGGGCCTTCCAGCAGTTGAAGCAGGCCATGACCACCACTATGACGCTAGCCATGCCGGACTTTTCTCGGACCTTCGTGATCGAGGCAGATGCTTCTGGTAGGGGAATTGGGGCAGTGCTGTCACAGGATCAGCATCCGGTAGCCTATATGAGTTAGACCTTGGCTCCATCCAGGGAGGCTTGGTCTACTTACCAGAACGAGATGCAGGCTATCATCACAGCGGTACAGATGTGGCGGCCGCACCTTCTGGGCCAGAAGTTCCACATTTATATCGACCACCAGAGCCTGAGGAACCTTTTGGAGCAGTGAGTTTCCACTCCCGATCAGCACAAGTGGGTCTCCAAGCTCCTTGGGTATAATTATGAGATTCACTATCGGCCGGGTCCCTCCAACGTCGTGGCGGATGGGCTCTTGCGGCGTTCCGGAGGTGAGATATTGGCGGCAGTGACCGGGCCGGTTCCCCAGTTCTGGGACGCGCTCCGGGCTCTGGTGGAGACAGATACGTACTTGTAGAGATGTCGGGAGACAGTAGCCAGTGAAGCACCGGGCCATTATTCCTTCCGCCAGGGGCTGGTCTTCTTCCGCGGGCGTCTTGTTCTTCCGCGAGCATCTTCACTGGTGACGACCGTGTTACATGAGTATCATGACTCCCCCTTTGGAGGGCATTCGGGGGTCGAGCGGACGTGGAGGAGGATCAGGGCCCAGTTTTATTGGCCCCAGATGGGCCTGGATGTGAAGGACTATGTCGCGTCATGTGATACTTGCCAGAGGGTTCAGACTTCTCGTCTGCGACCGGCAGGCCTCTTGCAGCCCTTGCCGGTACCGGAGCGGGTGTGGGAGGACATCACTATGGACTTCATCGTCGGCCTTCCCCCCTCCGGAGGAAAGATGGTCTTGCTCGTCGTCGTTGATCGACTGACGAAGTATGCCCATTTTATGGCCCTGGCACATCCGTGCACATCTCTGTCGGTAGCAGAGCAGTTTGTGATGGGAGTAGTGCGACATCACGGGTTCCCGAGGTCTATTGTCAGTGACCGGGACTCTGTTTTCATGGGTCGCTTCTGGTAGGAGGTGTTCACGATGGCCCAGACCACACTGCGGATGAGTTCCGCCTATCATCCATAGACAAATGGCCAGACGGAGGTGGTTAACCGTTACCTGGAGCAGTACCTGCGCAGCTTTGCCCACCAGTAGCCGAGGCGGTGGCTGGCTTTGTTGCCCTGGGCCGAACTATGGTATAACTCTACTAACCATAGAGCGATCCAGACTACGCCGTTTCAGGCCCTGTATGGGAGGCCGCCCCCCGCCTTGGTTCGCTACCAGAACGACACCAGCCGGGTAGATGCGGTGGACCGCTGGCTGGAGACACGAGATGAGGCCTTGGAGCAGCTCAAGGCCAACCTGGCGGCGGCCAATAACAAAATGAAGCAGTTGGCTGATGCAGTTCGGCGCGAGGAGGAATTCGAGGTTGGAGACTGGGTTCTGCTTCGTCTTCATCCGTACAGGCAGGCTTCCGTCTTTCGTCGTGCTTACCAGAAGTTGGCAGCTCGTTACTTTGGACCCTACGAGGTACTGCAGAAGATTAACCCGGTAGCATACCGTCTGTAGCTGCCAGCGGATGCACGCATCCATCTCACCTTCCATGTGTCATTGCTGAAGCGATACCGCGGAGAGGCGGACCGGGTAGAGACGACCGGCCCACCGGTGTCAGCGGACGGAGATCTTGAGCTAACTCCCTTGCAGATTCTGGATACCAGATGGGTGAAGAAAGGCGGGCGCCGGATGGAGGAGAGCTTGGTTCTGTGGAAGCATATGGAGAGGGAGGATGCCACCTGGGAGGAGACGGCCACGCTATGGCAATGATTTCCGGCATTTGACCTCGAGGATAAGGTCATTTTTGATGGGGAAGGGGATGATAGAAACCCGCGAGGCGGGTAGGGTGGGTTGGGGCCGGCCGTGTGGGCCCGGCTTGAGTAGCAGTTAGGTTATTTTTGTTAGTTTGCTGAAACTCATAAAAGAGGGCTTAGTACGTTCATTTTGGAAGAAAGCAATAATAATATCAAAATCCCTAAATCCCTCTTCTCTCTGTTCTTCCCCAATTCTCCTTCAAATCTCTAATTCTTCTTCTCAATTCCCAACCCAATTCCTCTCTATCAGTTCTCAACGGTATTTGTGGATCATATGAATGAACTTCTAGATCCGAAAGATGTTCCAAACTTGTCCGTGCAGCCTAGCTATCCGAAACCTGGTAGAAGAAGCTTTAGACAAATGCCTATCCATTCAGAAGCAGGAGAAAAGCTTTCAACATCAGAAGTAGATGTGACAATTTTCAATCCAATGCACTGTTCCATTAAAAATATCCAACTAATCCAATTGGATTTGTGGATTCATGGATTGTTAGCAAATTACAGTTTAGTACCTATAATTTTTATTTTTTATATTTTCATACCTAAAATTTAATTTTTATACGAAAAATATCATTGGAAAATTATATTTTAGTACCTAAAAATTTTCATTATGACATTTTAGTACCTAAACTTTTCACATTTTACATATTGGTCCAAAGTTGAGGATATCCTTTAGATTCATGAATAATCCACCAATTCATTTGATACATGAATCCACCAATCTACTTAATTTGATTCATGAATCCACCAATCCATTTAATCCATGAATCCACCCACTCATGAATTTAATTCATTAGTCACCTCTAATTCAAAAGGTGACAAATTAGTACTCTTCTATTCTCTCTTACCTCGTGCAGTTCACGGTACTTCAGTTGCTTTCGCCACAAAGGCCACAATCTTTTCCTTAATTGTGCATCCATCCCTCCAACACAAACTTTCCTTCTACAGCTCGATCCTATAAAAATGGCCCTGCTCCCATTCCACTTTCCTCACAGCCAACAACAACCACAATTAACCTAATGCAGAGTAAAACAGAAGCACAATGAAGATAAGCAACGAAACCTCTTCTTCCATCCTTCTCTTCATCGCCACTCTAGTTCTCGCTGCGGCCTACGTGGAAGGCCAGAGCTGCAGGCCAAGTTTTGGCACATAACAGGGCTAATTAACTCCACCACCGGGGCAATGCAACCAAGACCGGCAAGCATTACACCACTTACAAATGTTCCCCTCCGGTCACCGCAACCACGAAGGTGACTCTAACTTGGAAGTTGGAACAGCTTCGAGGCAGGGGGCAGCGGCGGAGACGCATCTGAGTGTGACAACCAGTACCATTCCGACGACAAGCCTATATTTGCACTCTCCAAGGGATGGTTCAACAAGAAAAGCAGGTGTCTCAACTTCATCAACATTCATGGGAATGACAACACTGTCAGAGCCATGGCAGTTGATGAATGCGACTCTGTGATTCTGATCATGATTATCAGCCTCCTTGCCCTAACAACATCTTCGACGCATCCAAAGCTGTTTGGAAGGCGTCGGGTGTGCCTGAGAGTGATTGAGGCAATTTGGATATCTCCTGGTCTGATGCTAACTGATTCGTGTAGAATCGTTTATGGTTAATGATCAAAGTTTCTCATTTTGTGCGTATATTTATGTTACTGTCTTTGTGAGCTAGTATGTATGATTGTGTGGATATTCTATCATCTGTAACATATCAAAAGCTTTGATGGAAAATGTTGGATGTCTGAACTTAAGTTTTGGCTATATTGGAGCTTCAGGAAATTGGAATTGATGAATTTGCTAATTTATTTGATGTGTTTATTAATCTGATTCCTTTTGTACATAGGCTCGTAAGTTATTTATAAAGGAAAGAACAACAAGCAACAAGTTGATGAGCATCATGGGTTGTTTGGAAATATGAGTTGTTTGGAATAGTATGGGGATATCATAGAATATGATGTGACAGGTTGGGTATGAACTTTTGCTTAGTGGTTAACCGATCACCGACTAATCGATTAATGGTTAACCGAAACGAAAACCAATAACCGTTTAATTGGTCACTGGTTAACCGATACGAAAACCAATAACCGTCTACTAGTATAACCACATAGTTTTGGACTTTTGACTAAGGGGAAAAGTTCCAAGATTCAAAATCAACCAAAGTCGCAATTCCAAACATCTCAATTTTCACTTATTGCAACAACCATTCACAAGAGTGTCAAATGTGCTTAAGAGTCAGAACTGAAAATCACCCATCTCTAACACCCCTTTGTAGTTGATAGAATGAACCTCACACCCTAGTGATATTTTTTATTTGATATTGTGAATGATGATCTTATGGTGTTTGTGTTTGATGTCTTGCTAATTGGTACTCACTTATTGGATGAATAAGTTTGCCTATTTTTTTTAATTTATGCATTGGATTTGGATTTGAATTATGAATTCACGATGAATGTTGCATTGATATGATTTCTTATGGATATGATTTTATGTTAACAATGTAGACATGTACTTAAATTATTTGAATTATTTTTTATGATTATTCTTCTCCAATATTTAGTTCTCTTGGTTATTCGATTTATTATATTTTGTGAAAGAAAATCGAAGCTATTGGTTTGATATGTGATTCGATTAGGTATAACCGTAGTTGTTGGAATGTATGTTAGGCGTTATTGGTTAACCACTGACTCACTCCTACTATCACTCTAGAAAATGGCCAAGTGTAACCACTTCCCAAAGCGTAGTATAGCGGGTTTGGGTTTTAATGTCAACCCGGGTCCTAGATTTGATGACTACTCGGTGAATTCTTGTTATCTAGCAGTGAAACTTTAGTGCGAGTCCAAATTAACAAACAAACAAAGCAAGTTAAACGGTTGTTTTCAAGTCAAGAGAGGTCACCCGGATATGGTTTCCTGACTCGCTGTTACTGTCACTCTAGAGAATGGCCAAGTGTAACCACTTCCTAAAGCGTAGTATAGCGGGTTTGGGTTTTATTATCAACCCGGGTCCTAGATGTGATGACTACTCAGTGAATTCGTATTATCTAGCAATGAAACTTTAGTGAAGTTCTAAACTAACAAGCAAGCAAAGCAACTAAAAGGTTGTATTCAGGTTAAGAGAGGTCACCCGGATATGGTTCCCCCTAGTCTGCAGTTAAGCCGGATTGTAATTACCAAGTTCGATTTCTATGAAAGTTATACTGCGGAAGGTTCTTAATCAGTCTGAAGTCTCGACTAAAGGTCTTCAGACCCTCTCAATCTGAGTCTCTAGCTGGCGACTAACCTACACGGGAGTAAACAGATTGAGGCCCTATGAACAAAACCTCCACTACCGAATGGAATTCGGTACAGAATAGTGAACTGGCTCCTCGACTAAAGTCACCAATTCACTACCTTCGATTAAGGACACTCTATCAACCTAGGCAGATATTATCATTCTAGGTTAAAGCAGAAACAACAGGAATTTGATCAGGATTCAAGTCATTCAATCATTCAAACCTCAATCGAATATAATCAAATCATAGAATCAATACTTGGGTTCATACAATCAAACCTAACATACAGATCTAGGGTTTCCCACACCCAGATGAATGGGGGAACTACTCCATGGAGAGAGAAGCAAAAGCAGAATCAGACGCGGAAATCATACTGTGAAGATGGATTTCTGCTCCTGGACGTTGAATCGGCACTTCTCCAAGCTCAAACCAAGCTCCAATGGTGTTGAAGATCGATCTAGGGCACTTGGAGGCTCTTGTTCGTCGCTTTCTCTCTCTAGGAACCGCTCTGTCTCTCAAAAACTCGAATCCCCTTCTGTTTGGCTCGGAATCCGCTTAAAAACCAGGCTTTCCCGACTTGCACGGCCAGGGTGCACGGCCGTGCACATCACCATTCTGGTCGTGCACCATGAAACGCACCGTATCAATTATTGTGTCTTCGTCCATCTTGCACGGCCAGGCGCACGGCCGTGCAAGCTTCATGGCCTGCCCGTGCATGGCCTCGGCGTGAGGCGCACGGCCAAATGGCTCAAGTGCATGGCCGTGCAGCCTCCTGGTCTGCCCGTGCACTCCCCAAAAAGCTCGCCCTTCGTCCGTTCTTCGTCCAATCGACCCCAGACTCGCTCCTAAGCCTTCATTCACGTACTAGGACCTGAAATAACACAAACAAGCACAACCTAGCGTGAAATCGGCCTAAAACACGAGAATCAACACCTCAAACGGTGTAAGTATGAGGGTAAAATCATGTGTAAATGACGGTCTATCAAACTCCCCCACACTTAACCGTTTGCTTGTCCCCAAGCAAACCAAGTCAGACACTAGGTAAGCTTACATATTTCAATCAACCAACATTGGGGACAAGTCATAAAGGCACAGCACACGTGAATCGCACTGGTTTTCAAACATCAATACATGCACAACCTCAATAACAACCTGGACAACCACCACAAAGGACATTCGAGTGCAGCAAATCGAGTAAAGGAAGAGTCTCCCTTCTGTTCACTGGCCAACCTAGACTTGATTCAACCACTTACTCAAAACAGTCAACTCATGCATCCAACTCAAGACATCTGAATAGAGACCGAGCAATCTAGGTCCTCACCGGGGTACAAGAGCATATAGAAAATGAAAATGAATCACTCACTCTCGACCAGTGGGGTCAGGACAATCTGATGCGAAAGATGCGCATGCTATTCCTCTCAATCCCTATCATCTCTTCACCATGATGGCAGCCTCTAAATGCTAGAGTTCACATATGGGGTGTCACCACTAACTAATCAGGAGGTCTTAGACACAGGTTCAAATGACTGGCTAGGGTCTTGGACATGGGAAAAGGCCTTTTAGGTGGTGGAAGTATTCATAGCAAAAGGTTCCACATTTTCCAAACAAACAATCACAGTCAAACAACCCGGTATTTTCTTTCTGCTATTCTGCATTACTCAATATCTTAAGAGCACAAGAGCGAAGGAGGCATAAAACATCAGCATTTCCAAGCCAGACTGCTAAGAAACACTGCTTACTGGGCATTATTCAGATTTTGGTAGTGGCTCTCTTTTGCTTTCAATTTTTTTCTTTGTTTTTCTTTCATTTTTCTTTTCATTTCTTAAGAGAGCCACCACTTCTGCATAAATTTCAAACACCTGCCCAACTTTTAAGCACTACCTCCAACACTCACATAGACTTTAGCAGAAACAGCAGAGAATATGTAAAAAACCACTCTGTGGAACCTTCTAAAAGATGCAACAAGGGTGATTTTTTTCATTATAAACCAAAAGAAAGGATAACACACGGCTCAAAGGGGCTGACTAGGGGATATGACACATCAGGACAGTCAGTTGTTTGGGCGTGGGCTAATCCTATGCCCCCATCATCTTAGCTAGTGACAACGTGAATGCTACACATCATGGAAGAGGGATCTATCGCACAAGAAAGAAACGAGCAGGCTCAAATCTCACATGGCTACCTATATGCTCTATCTCACATTCTGATACCCTGAACTAGATGCATAAACGACTGTCAAGAACAAGTAATCAGATCAAGTCAGATCAAGTCACAGTTGGCAAGCAAACAGTTGAAAAACTGAACCCCTACATCGTTCTACTGCACTTCTCAGTCCTCATCATAGGTTGTCCTAGTCGCAAACAATTTGTCATGCATTAATCCGAAAACCAATCAATTCATCCATCAAAACACAGTGCCAATATGATCAAACAGCAGTACTTGGAGCCCTAAATCGTAAGATTCGGACAGCGGACTAGGCTCCAAGCACCATCATAAATATTCCAACCGATACAAAGCATCCCCCCACACTTAAGCACGACATTGCCCTCAATGGAGTAGAGGGAAAGAGAAGGGGAACGATGTTACCGGGTAAGAACACTGCTGGGGGACTGGAAGTGGACCAGTCAGCGAGAAACGAACGGGGGAGTGGACAATGCTGCACAAATCGAACATCAGAAACACTAGCACACTGGCGTTAGGGATAAGTGTTAGCCCAGACGGCTACATCAAACCACAAAGAAAAAAACCAAAAACAAAACAAACGACACCAAGTTCAAGCTCCGCACACATGGAGCAAACACACAAAAGTCTAAAAAGAAAATCAAAACAGACACACTGAGACGGGCAACGAGTGCAGCCTACTCGTCGCCAAGATCGTCGAGATCGATGTCATCCATGAATGCATCATCACCAGCAGCGCCAGCCGCACCGTCATGTGGAGGGGAGTCATCCCAGGGAGTCCTCCAGACAGGTGGATCGCCCGGAATCAGCTGAAGCAGGTGCTGCTGAACCTCCTGCATGCGCCGGGAACGGCGCTTCTCCCGCTCGATATGGGCGAGAGTCACGCCCTGCTGAGTCTGGATCGTGTCCAGCCTATGCCGGTACTCGGCCTGATCGGCCGCGTACTGCTGCTGGAACTGCATCTGCTGGTCGAGGAGCAGCTGGTTCTGGATCCGCAGCTGCTCGAACTGCTGGGTGAAGTAGTCCTGGCCCTGGAAAGTGGAGCTGCTACCCCCAAAATGGAAGGCAGTCGGCGGGGGATCATCAGCAGCATCAGCAGCAGCA